GGGCAATTATAAAGCAACACACTCAAAAACTAAGTGTTGTAAAAAAAAGAATGTTAAGATTGATGTGTAATAAAACCAGAGAAGATAGAATTAAAAGTTAGTATGTTTGTGAAACTATAGAAGTGGCATCAGTTACATTTGTGAAACTATAGAAGTAGTGTTACATAAATTAAGAAAGAATCTACTTAGGTTAGATATATTGATAAAAAGTCTAGTGTTGTACTAGTGAGGAGACGTGATTTGATACATATTGATGATAATGCGAGAAATATAGGTAGACTAAAGTTAACTTTGAACGTAATGGTAAAAAAAAAATATGATCGCTTACAGTTTAAAGCACAATGGAGAAATAGGATTCATGTGGCCGACCCCAAAGAGTTGGAATAAAGGCTCAACAATGGAGAAATGGGATTCATGTAGCCGACCCCAAAGAGTTGGAATAAAAGGCTTTGTTGAGTCTAGTTGAGCTGTGTTGAATACATTGCTTTGAATAAGGATGACAGTGATGCTGGAGGGTCAAATCATTGTCTTTCTTTTCAGCAATAGTTTTTTTTTTTTGTGTTTATTTTCTCTTTTCATAACATTTACCTCTCATGTTCCACTGGCGCTGGGTTCTATTTAGGCCTGTCAAAATTCGACATAACACGATTAACCAACACGAATCGATACGAATTAAACATGTTTAGGTAAGACATTAATAGGTTTGGGTGATAATCGGGTTAACCCGCCAGACACTTTTAATAAACGGGTCGTGTTCGGGTTAAACCTATCAATCTGTTTATCAGCCGTTTAAAAAAATAATATAATAATAAATTAATAATTATATTTAAAAAAAAAGTCAAAATTAAATATTATATATAAATATATGATAAATGAGTAAAGAACAATCTTACTTCAGAAAAATTAAATACACATTAGTCACTTACCCCCNTGTATGATTTGAAGCAGTCACCAAGAGCATGGTTTGGCAAAGTCTCTGATACAGTATTAGAGTTTGACCTTCTTCGATGTCAGACAGATCATTCTATTTTTCACAGGCAGATAGATGCAGGGTCTACTTTGTTGGTGGTTTATGTTGATGATATTGTAATCACTGGTAATGATTCTGAGGGTATTACTAAGTTAAAAGTATTTTTCCAAGACAAATTTCATACAAAGGATTTGAGAAAACTCAAGTACTTCTTGGGTATTGAAGTTGTCAGATCTAAGCAGGGTATCTATCTATCTCAGAGGAAATATGTACTTGACATGCTAGAAGAGACAAGTTTACTTAGTAGTAAACCAGTTGATAGTCCTATGCAACCAAATTAGAAGTTGTTGATGGATGATGATGCTCTATTTGATAACCTAGGTCGGTATCGCAAGTTGGTTGGGAAGCTTAATTATCTCACTATTACCCGACCATATATTGCATATGCGGTCAGTACGGTAAGTCAGTTTATGGGATGTCTTAGAGTACCACATTGGGATGCAGTCATTCATATTCTTCGATATCTCAAAAGTGCTCCTGGTCTTGGATTGTTTCATCAAACTAATGGACATCTTCGAGTGGAAGATTTTTCGGATGTTGATTGAGCTGGTTCTCCATCTGATCGGCGGTCAACTACTGGTTATTGTACCTTCTTGGGAGGTAATGCTGTTTCGTGGAAAAGTAAAAAACAAACAGTGGTAGCACGATCCAGTGCCGAGGCTAAGTACAGAACAATAACTCATACGATTAGTGAGTTGACATGGTTATTACATTTTATTCGGGAAATTGGTTTTCCAGTTCAGTTACCGTTACAACTATTCTATGATAATCAGGTAGCCATACATATTACTGCCAATCCAGCGTTCCATGAGAGAACCAAACATATTGAAGTTGACTATCATTATATTCGAGATAAGATACTAAATGGAGACATTGCAACTCCATTTTTGAGATCTAAGGATCAACTTGCAGACATGTTCACCAAAGCATTGAGTCGTACTCGTCTTGCAGATTGTTCCAAACTTGGATGATATGATATCTATAGTCCAACTTGAGGGGGAGTGTTGAAAAAGTTACTATAATACAATTTGGAAAGTTACTAGAATGTAATTAAGGTTTACGTTTATTGAAATATTTATATCACACAAAGGGTATACTCATATTTTATTTCTTATTTCAGTGACTATAAATACAAGACCAATAGTAAGAGGTAGGTTAAGCCAAAACTTCTCTTTGTCTTTCTCATATTGTGTTAAGTTCCTCCCTAATCTTAACAGATATGATGAAAGATATATTCCAAGTTACAATGACTTTAGTGATGACAATTACAAGAGAAAACAGTGAATTTTCAATCACTGTAAGCCTACATAAGGATTTCATCTAAAATCCGCATGTTTTTGTCTTGATTGTGGATGAAATGACTAGACACATTTAGAATGAGGTTTCATTATGTATATTTTTAGCAGATGATGTATGTTAATTGATGTAATTAAAGTGGAAGGTAACAATAAACTAGAAGTTTTAGAAAAAAACTTTGAAATAAAAAAGATTCAGGATAAATACATATATCAATAGTTGTGAAAATTCAAATTGGGCGGTAGTACAGACCCAAGATCAAGACTTTTCTGGGGAGGGGGGGATCGAAGATCAAGAAACATCGAAGCGAAAACATTTTCGATATTGAGGGTCAATTATCCTTGTTGAGTGGGGGATTGGAGATAATGTTAATTGCAGACTCAAACAAGGATGGACTAGGTGGAGTTGTGGAGGGATGTATATGCTATATTTAATCGTGTGTAAGTGTTTTGTTGAAGTTAAATTTTACAAGATAACCATTAGGCTATCTTGTAGCGATATTTTATGGTACTACATGTTGGGCAATTATAAAGCAACACACTCAAAAACTAAGTGTTGTAAAAAAAAGAATGTTAAGATTGATGTGTAATAAAACCAGAGAAGATAGAATTAAAAGTTAGTATGTTTGTGAAACTATAGAAGTGGCATCAGTTACATTTGTGAAACTATAGAAGTAGTGTTACATAAATTAAGAAAGAATCTACTTAGGTTAGATATATTGATAAAAAGTCTAGTGTTGTACTAGTGAGGAGACGTGATTTGATACATATTGATGATAATGCGAGAAATATAGGTAGACTAAAGTTAACTTTGAACGTAATGGTAAAAAAAAAATATGATCGCTTACAGTTTAAAGCACAATGGAGAAATAGGATTCATGTGGCCGACCCCAAAGAGTTGGAATAAAGGCTCAACAATGGAGAAATGGGATTCATGTAGCCGACCCCAAAGAGTTGGAATAAAAGGCTTTGTTGAGTCTAGTTGAGCTGTGTTGAATACATTGCTTTGAATAAGGATGACGTGATGCTGGAGGGTCAAATCATTGTCTTTCTTTTCAGCAATAGTTTTTTTTTTTTGTGTTTATTTTCTCTTTTCATAACATTTACCTCTCATGTTCCACTGGCGCTGGTTTCTATTTAGGCCTGTCAAAATTCGACATAACACGATTAACCAACACGAATCGATACGAATTAAACAGGTTTGGGTAAGACATTAACAGGTTTGGGTGATAAACGGGTTAACCCGTCAGACACTTTTAATAAACGGGTCGTGTTCGGGTTAAACCTATCAATCTGTTTATCAGCCGTTTAAAAAAATAATATAATAATAAATTAATAATTATATTTAAAAAAAAAGTCAAAATTAAATATTATATATAAATATATGATAAATGAGTAAAGAACAATCTTACTTCAGAAAAATTAAATACACATTAGTCACTTACCCCCACTTTGCAGTGCTCGATGTGGGAACCCTTCCTTGCTGCTTGTATCTGCTGTCGAAAAACATTTTACTGAAGAATCTCTCTTCAACTCTGAGATCCAATAAAAATCTCCACCTTGCTGCAGCTGAACATCAAGAACCATTCAATAACATTGCGATTCTAATCCCCAAGTGTTTGATCTCGGTACTGATAGCTGTGTTCTTGTTGTCTTCGTCTACGATCGCCAGGTCAGAAACTCCATTCATCGTGGCTCACAAGAAGGCCACCCTTAATAAACTACAATTCGGTGCTGAATGAATCTCCATCTCCATTGACATCTAAAACCAAGGACTTGCATATGTTTCCTTCGATTCTTCTAATTTCCATCAATTTGATTATGTCATGTTTCGGAAATGATACTTCGAGTGGTAGATCAAAATCTCACTTTACCACCACCTCACCCCCCTCCCCTTTGCGGTGCTTACCACCACCATCAACAACACTGGCAGCGACGAAGTGGGTCTGTAATATATGGGCATCAACAACAATGGCACTAGTAGCGACGAAGTGGGCATCATAGTGGTTGAGTGGATCCTGGGGTGGGTTTATAGTCTATAGACACAGTTTGTGGGTTTATAGACACTGAAGACATAGTAAAAGTTTTTGGCTTGAATCCCACGTCGACAAATTCAAATAAAGGAAACCTCCTATGCCTATAAAATGATGCAACCCCTTCCTTTAGTTATTAAACCTTCTCAGTTGCTTTTGCAAGTGGCAACCAGTTGGAAATTTTTAATTAAGAGAGTATAATTGGTCTGAATAATTAATGGAGTTTAAAATTTTAATAGGATAGTATTTTTGATGCGGGTTAAAATTTTAATAGAATAATTTTAATAAAATTAAACGGGTTAAACGAGTCGTGTCGTGTTACCCGTTTATTAAACGGTTCGTGTTCCTGTTTAGGTGTTTTATCCATTTATTAAACATGTCGTATACGGGTTTACATGTTTTTCACCCGTCACCCGTTTAACTCAACACGTTTGACACCCTTAGTTCTACTATCTTGACATATGAGAAATTGTAAGTATATCCAGTCATTATCAGCATAACAGATTTGGATAAACCCCTGTTCAATGTATAATCCATCTCTGATTCATTAATAGCCTACCCCCACTCATTTTTTAAGATGTACATCCTCTTGATCTTCTCTACTCAATAATTTCACATGTAACGAGTAAAAATAATATGAGAATGGAAATGTTTTATGGTGCTATGCAGTACAGGGAGCCTGGAGTTCTATTATGGAGAGGATTTACCCTTCAAGAATTCGCAAACCAGTGCTTTGGAAACAAATTTGATAATGGAAAAGGCAGGCAGATGCCTATACATTATGGGTCAACCAAACACAATTACTTTACTGTTGCATCGACAGTTGGGTAAGATACAAACCTTGTATATGAGAAATTTTCATTTATAAAGTTTTTTGTGAAATAATTTGGGAATCACCATCTCAAATATTTGTGTGTTCCAGTACACAAATTCCTCATGCTGTTGGCGCTGCGTATGCCCTAAAGATGGAGGAGAGAGATGCATGCACAGTCACTTATTTTGGGGATGGTGGCACTAGTACGGTAAATATATAATTAATATCTTTAGGTAACTTCTTTTAGGAGAAATAATTTATAGGCCATATTTCATTACTTAGAAATCATAATGTTCTATCTTTTCATCGTGTGGACCAAAATTTGAACATCTTTTACTCTACTCTGTTTATCAATTAACTGTCAGTGTTATACTTTGCCATTTTTCATCTCAACATTGTTATTGGACTTGTATATCAATAAACATCTCAGATTCTACATCCCAATGGTCTTAAATTTTTTATTCTTCTCTGAATCGATTCATCAAGAATTGCTTTCAAACCAAGTCTGCCATTGGCTTTGTTTCATCAATACTTTTCTTCGTGGGCATTGGCCTGATTTACTGAACTTCGNATGGTCTTAAATTTTTTATTCTTCTCTGAATCGATTCATCAAGAATTGCTTTCAAACTAAGTCTGCCATTGGCTTTGTTTCATCAATACTTTTCTTCGTGGGCATTGGCCTGATTTACTGAACTTCANTTTGATCTCGGTACTGATAGCTGTGTTCTTGTTGTCTTCGTCTACGATCGCCAGGTCGGAAACTCCATTCATCGTGGCTCACAAGAAGGCCACCCTTAATAAACTACAATTCGGTGCTGAATGAATCTCCGTCTCCATTGACATCTAAAACCAAGGACTTGCATATGTTTCCTTCGATTCTTCTAATTTCCATCAATTTGATTATGTCATGTTTCGGAAATGATACTTCGAGTGGTAGATCAAAATCTCACTTTACCACCACCTCACCCCCCTCCCCTTTGCGGTGCTTACCACCACCATCAACAACACTGGCAGCGACGAAGTGGGTCTGTAATATATGGGCATCAACAACAATGGCACTAGTAGCGACGAAGTGGGCATCATAGTGGTTGAGTGGATCCTGGGGTGGGTTTATAGTCTATAGACACAGTTTGTGGGTTTATAGACACTGAAGACATAGTAAAAGTTTTTGGCTTGAATCCCACGTCGACAAATTCAAATAAAGGAGACCTCCTATGCCTATAAAATGATGCAACCCCTTCCTTTAGTTATTAAACCTTCTCAGTTGCTTTTGCAAGTGGCAACCAGTTGGAAATTTTTAATTAAGAGAGTATAATTGGTCTGAATAATTAATGAAGTTTAAAATTTTAATAGGATAGTTTTTTTGATGCGGGTTAAAATTTTAATAGAATAATTTTAATAAAATTAAACGGGTTAAACGAGTCGTGTCGTGTTACCCGTTTATTAAACGGTCGTGTTCCTGTTTAGGTGTTTTATCCATTTATTAAACATGTCGTATACGGGTTTACATGTTTTTCACCCGTCACCCGTTTAACTCAACACGTTTGACACCCTTAGTTCTACTATCTTGACATATGAGAAATTGTAAGTATATCCAGTCATTATCAGCATAACAGATTTGGATAAACCCCTGTTCAATGTATAATCCATCTCTGATTCATTAATAGCCTACCCCCACTCATTTTTTAAGATGTACATCCTCTTGATCTTCTCTACTCAATAATTTCACATGTAACGAGTAAAAATAATATGAGAATGGAAATGTTTTATGGTGCTATGCAGTACAGGGAGCCTGGAGTTCTATTATGGAGAGGATTTACCCTTCAAGAATTCGCAAACCAGTGCTTTGGAAACAAATTTGATAATGGAAAAGGCAGGCAGATGCCTATACATTATGGGTCAACCAAACACAATTACTTTACTGTTGCATCGACAGTTGGGTAAGATACAAACCTTGTATATGAGAAATTTTCATTTATAAAGTTTTTTGTGAAATAATTTGGGAATCACCATCTCAAATATTTGTGTGTTCCAGTACACAAATTCCTCATGCTGTTGGCGCTGCGTATGCCCTAAAGATGGAGGAGAGAGATGCATGCACAGTCACTTATTTTGGGGATGGTGGCACTAGTACGGTAAATATATAATTAATATCTTTAGGTAACTTCTTTTAGGAGAAATAATTTATAGGCCATATTTCATTACTTAGAAATCATAATGTTCTATCTTTTCATCGTGTGGACCAAAATTTGAACATCTTTTACTCTACTCTGTTTATCAATTAACTGTCAGTGTTATACTTTGCCATTTTTCATCTCAACATTGTTATTGGACTTGTATATCAATAAACATCTCAGATTCTACATCCCAATGGTCTTAAATTTTTTATTCTTCTCTGAATCGATTCATCAAGAATTGCTTTCAAACTAAGTCTGCCATTGGCTTTGTTTCATCAATACTTTTCTTCGTGGGCATTGGCCTGATTTACTGAACTTCATGGAACTAAGTCCGCAATTGGCCTTGTTTCATGTGTAGTTTTATTCTTGATCCCAATCTGTCTCTTATCCTGATCTTTCAGTCTTGAGCTTGGCCGCCTCAATTTCTCTCTCTCTGTTGTGTTACTTGATTTCTAGATAGCTTTGAATCCACACTTCATTTCAAGTCAGGATTTCAACAATGTCCTGGTGTGGAATATATACATTTTCAGTTTTGCAACCTCACATTCTGTGAAACCTGCTCTTCATGTTGATTATGACAATGAAAAGATTTTTAAAGCAATAGTTGGTAAAATCAACTTACAACTGGTTCTTGTATATAATTGTCCCATTATGTTTCTTGTCCGATGGTTAAGTTGTTTATAAACTTTTTCATTCTTTCCTATTCCGTATTGTAACTCCTGTTATATGAGGACTTGGCACCTTTATTGCATTCATGTTGGTCTCATCTTCGATACTGCCCTTGGCGTTATTTGCTCTCTGACTCGTTTTCCCTTGTTTCATTCTTACAGCCCTTGACACGAGTCAATCTCATATTTCCTTCTTATACGAAGTGAGTCTATCCCATTGCCTGCTAATAATTGTTCTCTCTAAAATGGACATTTTTCAAAGTCTCATTCCTTCTGTCCGTAAATGCTTTTCATGTTGGGTAGTGATGAGTATGGCATATTATTCACTTTCTGATACATCAGTCAATTTTAGGGAGATTTCCATGCTGCTCTGAACTTTGCAGCGGTTATGGAGGTCCCAGTTATTTTTATTTGCCGGAACAATGGATGGGCCATCAGTACCCCATCTGCAGACCAGTTTCGAAGTATATTTTCTTCTTGAACATTCTCGTACTTTGCCATATTCCATCACAAGTCCCTCTGACTAGGGTCTTTAAATTATTGACAGGTGATGGTATTGTTGTTAGAGGACAGGCCTACGGCGTTCGTAGCATTCGTGTAGATGGTAATGATGCTCTTGCTATGTATAATGCTGTTAATGAGGCACGTACAATGGCTATTGGTGAACAAAAACCCATTTTAATTGAGGTGATGTTATTGTTCATTGTGGCCTTCAGATTGGCATAATCAGAAAGTTATACTTTCATTTTGATGAAATAATCAACCCTTTTCATTGACAGGCCCTCACGTACAGAGCAGGGCACCACTCTACATCTGATGACTCCACCAAATATCGTCCAGGTGATGAGATTGAATGGTGGAGAATGGCACAAGACCCTGTAACAAGGTTTAGGAAATGGATTGAAATGAAAGGTTGGTGGAGTGCTGAGGCCGAGTCAGAATTTCGAAGCAGTGTTCGGAAGCAGGTAAACCTATGCTATAGATAAAAGCAACTTAAAAAAGTGATGGGCTGTCTTACTGTTAATTAGACTCTTACTAGCCTTAAGTTATTAAACAATTCTCTGAACACTTTAGTCAACTTCATCATTGGTAGTGATTCCTCAGAAGCCAGGACCATAGTTTTGATTAGAAGAAATGGGTCTTTTGATAGGAGAGTATAGTGCCGGTGAATTCGACACATCTTTAAATGTCAGATTTGCTAGAATATTATTATCGGTAGTAGATCCCTGTAAAAGGATAGGCGATTTGAGAGAAAATAAGAATTTTCGAAGCAGAGTTGAGGGTTAGCTCTGCATTCTTAACTGATTTAGTAAGTGGGTGGAACTCTCTAAGAAATGTCCTTGCCAACCGTGGAGCGAGGTTTAGGTTGAGTACTGGCAATTTAAGTACTAAATTTTTAGCACTGGAACTTTTATTTTGATGACTTGATATCTAAGGATAAATATGCCTACTTAAAACGAGATTAAAAAATTCATTCTATTTAGCTTATTAAGTAACAAGTGATCAATCTAGTCCTTTTGATATATGGCCCAATTCAGTGAGAACTAATTCTCAAGTGGTATGCAATTATTTAGTATCAGGCATAGTTAACAGAGTTGACTGAATTTAAGTACTCAGTAAAGGATATGAAACCGCCATTTCAGTGTGATCTGCATTTGCAATTTACTGGGATGTTGCAGATCATTTCAGTGGCTCTTAAGTCTTAAGAAGCCAGTGTTGTTGGAAGCTACTTCCAGATACCTTTTCAGTTTATCACCTAAAGTTTTTCAATTGGATATGCTTTGGCTACAGGTATTAAATGCCATTCAAGTGGCAGAGAAGGTTGAGAAACCCCCCATAAAGGAATTATTCACAGATGTGTATGACTTTCCCCCACCCAACCTTTGTGAGCAAGAGGCATCACTCAGAGAGGCCATCAGAAGACATCCACAGGACTATCCCCCTGATTTTCTTATGTAGATTATTTTTTTTTAATGTATCACTATTATATTGGTTTGGTAAAAAAATGTTCATCCCTAATCTTGAGATGGTTAATTTTTACAGTTTTAATAATGCAAAAGGATGATTTGTCTGTAGCTCTATCAAAAAGTATTGGCTTCTCAAAATGTCATATGGATTTAGCACTCCCATTCCTGTCAATACAATATGGAAAGGGGGTTCCATTTCCTCTGCTCAAATTGTTACATTTTGCATTTCCATTGGTACATGCCCAGGTACATAATTTTTAATGTATGACTCGTGATTATGAAGAAAACTTGTATTGTACTTACAAATATTAGATCCATCAAAGGTGTGTTCATGCGGTTGAGGGGACTCTTCATTTCTTCCCAATTGGTTGTGGAGTAGATGTCTTTCACATGGTATCAGATTTAGGCTTTGGGAGGGTGTTGGATAAGCCTCAATTCCTTCGATTTGATAATTGATTCCTCCTTGTTTGTGNCAGACACTTTTAATAAACGGGTCGTGTTCGGGTTAAACCTATCAATCTGTTTATCAGCCGTTTAAAAAAATAATATAATAATAAATTAATAATTATATTTAAAAAAAAAGTCAAAATTAAATATTATATATAAATATATGATAAATGAGTAAAGAACAATCTTACTTCAGAAAAATTAAATACACATTAGTCACTTACCCCCCCTTTGCAGTGCTCGATGTGGGAACCCTTCCCTGCTGCTTGTATCTGCTGTCGAAAAACATTTTACTGAAGAATCTCTCTTCAACTCTGAGATCCAATAAAAATCTCCACCTTGCTGCAGCTGAACATCAAGAACCATTCAATAACATTGCGATTCTAATCCCCAAGTGTTTGATCTCGGTACTGATAGCTGTGTTCTTGTTGTCTTCGTCTACGATCGCCAGGTCAGAAACTCCATTCATCGTGGCTCACAAGAAGGCCACCCTTAATAAACTACAATTCGGTGCTGAATGAATCTCCATCTCCATTGACATCTAAAACCAAGGACTTGCATATGTTTCCTTCGATTCTTCTAATTTCCATCAATTTGATTATGTCATGTTTCGGAAATGATACTTCGAGTGGTAGATCAAAATCTCACTTTACCACCACCTCACCCCCCTCCCCTTTGCGGTGCTTACCACCACCATCAACAACACTGGCAGCGACGAAGTGGGTCTGTAATATATGGGCATCAACAACAATGGCACTAGTAGCGACGAAGTGGGCATCATAGTGGTTGAGTGGATCCTGGGGTGGGTTTATAGTCTATAGACACAGTTTGTGGGTTTATAGACACTGAAGACATAGTAAAAGTTTTTGGCTTGAATCCCACGTCGACAAATTCAAATAAAGGAAACCTCCTATGCCTATAAAATGATGCAACCCCTTCCTTTAGTTATTAAACCTTCTCAGTTGCTTTTGCAAGTGGCAACCAGTTGGAAATTTTTAATTAAGAGAGTATAATTGGTCTGAATAATTAATGAAGTTTAAAATTTTAATAGGATAGTTTTTTTGATGCGGGTTAAAATTTTAATAGAATAATTTTAATAAAATTAAACGGGTTAAACGAGTCGTGTCGTGTTACCCGTTTATTAAACGGTCGTGTTCCTGTTTAGGTGTTTTATCCATTTATTAAACATGTCGTATACGGGTTTACATGTTTTTCACCCGTCACCCGTTTAACTCAACACGTTTGACACCCTTAGTTCTACTATCTTGACATATGAGAAATTGTAAGTATATCCAGTCATTATCAGCATAACAGATTTGGATAAACCCCTGTTCAATGTATAATCCATCTCTGATTCATTAATAGCCTACCCCCACTCATTTTTTAAGATGTACATCCTCTTGATCTTCTCTACTCAATAATTTCACATGTAACGAGTAAAAATAATATGAGAATGGAAATGTTTTATGGTGCTATGCAGTACAGGGAGCCTGGAGTTCTATTATGGAGAGGATTTACCCTTCAAGAATTCGCAAACCAGTGCTTTGGAAACAAATTTGATAATGGAAAAGGCAGGCAGATGCCTATACATTATGGGTCAACCAAACACAATTACTTTACTGTTGCATCGACAGTTGGGTAAGATACAAACCTTGTATATGAGAAATTTTCATTTATAAAGTTTTTTGTGAAATAATTTGGGAATCACCATCTCAAATATTTGTGTGTTCCAGTACACAAATTCCTCATGCTGTTGGCGCTGCGTATGCCCTAAAGATGGAGGAGAGAGATGCATGCACAGTCACTTATTTTGGGGATGGTGGCACTAGTACGGTAAATATATAATTAATATCTTTAGGTAACTTCTTTTAGGAGAAATAATTTATAGGCCATATTTCATTACTTAGAAATCATAATGTTCTATCTTTTCATCGTGTGGACCAAAATTTGAACATCTTTTACTCTACTCTGTTTATCAATTAACTGTCAGTGTTATACTTTGCCATTTTTCATCTCAACATTGTTATTGGACTTGTATATCAATAAACATCTCAGATTCTACATCCCAATGGTCTTAAATTTTTTATTCTTCTCTGAATCGATTCATCAAGAATTGCTTTCAAACCAAGTCTGCCATTGGCTTTGTTTCATCAATACTTTTCTTCGTGGGCATTGGCCTGATTTACTGAACTTCGTGGAACTAAGTCCGCAATTGGCCTTGTTTCATGTGTAGTTTTATTCTTGATCCCAATCTGTCTCTTATCCTGATCTTTCAGTCTTGAGCTTGGCCGCCTCAATTTCTCTCTCTCTGTTGTGTTACTTGATTTCTAGATAGCTTTGAATCCACACTTCATTTCAAGTCAGGATTTCAACAATGTCCTGGTGTGGAATATATACATTTTCAGTTTTGCAACCTCACATTCTGTGAAACCTGCTCTTCATGTTGATTATGACAATGAAAAGATTTTTAAAGCAATAGTTGGTAAAATCAACTTACAACTGGTTCTTGTATATAATTGTCCCATTATGTTTCTTGTCCGATGGTTAAGTTGTTTATAAACTTTTTCATTCTTTCCTATTCTGTATTGTAACTCCTGTTATATGAGGACTTGGCACCTTTATNGTAAAATCAACTTACAACTGGTTCTTGTATATAATTGTCCCATTATGTTTCTTGTCCAATGGTTAAGTTGTTTATAAACTTTTTCATTCTTTCCTATTCCGTATTGTAACTCCTGTTATATGAGGACTTGGCACCTTTATTGCATTCATGTTGGTCTCATCTTCGATACTGCCCTTGGCGTTATTTGCTCTCTGACTCGTTTTCCCTTGTTTCATTCTTACAGCCCTTGACACGAGTCAATCTCATATTTCCTTCTTATACGAAGTGAGTCTATCCCATTGCCTGCTAATAATTGTTCTCTCTAAAATGGACATTTTTCAAAGTCTCATTCCTTCTGTCCGTAAATGCTTTTCATGTTGGGTAGTGATGAGTATGGCATATTATTCACTTTCTGATACATCAGTCAATTTTAGGGAGATTTCCATGCTGCTCTGAACTTTGCAGCGGTTATGGAGGTCCCAGTTATTTTTATTTGCCGGAACAATGGATGGGCCATCAGTACCCCATCTGCAGACCAGTTTCGAAGTATATTTTCTTCTTGAACATTCTCGTACTTTGCCATATTCCATCACAAGTCCCTCTGACTAGGGTCTTTAAATTATTGACAGGTGATGGTATTGTTGTTAGAGGACAGGCCTACGGCGTTCATAGCATTCGTGTAGATGGTAATGATGCTCTTGCTATGTATAATGCTGTTAATGAGGCACGTACAATGGCTATTGGTGAACAAAAACCCATTTTAATTGAGGTGATGTTATTGTTCATTGTGGCCTTCAGATTGGCATAATCAGAAAGTTATACTTTCATTTTGATGAAATAATCAACCCTTTTCATTGACAGGCCCTCACGTACAGAGCAGGGCACCACTCTACATCTGATGACTCCACCAAATATCGTCCAGGTGATGAGATTGAATGGTGGAGAATGGCACAAGACCCTGTAACAAGGTTTAGGAAATGGATTGAAATGAAAGGTTGGTGGAGTGCTGAGGCCGAGTCAGAATTTCGAAGCAGTGTTCGGAAGCAGGTAAACCTATGCTATAGATAAAAGCAACTTAAAAAAGTGATGGGCTGTCTTACTGTTAATTAGACTCTTACTAGCCTTAAGTTATTAAACAATTCTCTGAACACTTTAGTCAACTTCATCATTGGTAGTGATTCCTCAGAAGCCAGGACCATAGTTTTGATTAGAAGAAATGGATCTTTTGATAGGAGAGTATAGTGCCGGTGAATTCGACACATCTTTAAATGTCAGATTTGCTAGAATATTATTATCGGTAGTAGATCCCTGTAAAAGGATAGGCGATTTGAGAGAAAATAAGAATTTTCGAAGCAGAGTTGAGGGTTAGCTCTGCATTCTTAACTGATTTAGTAAGTGGGTGGAACTCTCTAAGAAATGTCCTTGCCAACCGTGGAGCGAGGTTTAGGTTGAGTACTGGCAATTTAAGTACTAAATTTTTAGCACTGGAACTTTTATTTTGATGACTTGATATCTAAGGATAAATATGCCTACTTAAAACGAGATTAAAAAATTCATTCTATTTAGCTTATTAAGTAACAAGTGATCAATCTAGTCCTTTTGATATATGGCCCAATTCAGTGAGAACTAATTCTCAAGTGGTATGCAATTATTTAGTATCAGGCATAGTTAACAGAGTTGACTGAATTTAAGTACTCAGTAAAGGATATGAAACCGCCATTTCAGTGCGATCTGCATTTGCAATTTACTGGGATGTTGCAGATCATTTCAGTGGCTCTTAAGTCTTAAGAAGCCAGTGTTGTTGGAAGCTACTTCCAGATACCTTTTCAGTTTATCACCTAAAGTTTTTCAATTGGATATGCTTTGGCTACAGGTATTAAATGCCATTCAAGTGGCAGAGAAGGTTGAGAAACCCCCCATAAAGGAATTATTCACAGATGTGTATGACTTTCCCCCACCCAACCTTTGTGAGCAAGAGGCATCACTCAGAGAGGCCATCAGAAGACATCCACAGGACTATCCCCCTGATTTTCTTATGTAGATTATTTTTTTTTAATGTATCACTATTATATTGGTTTGGTAAAAAAATGTTCATCCCTAATCTTGAGATGGTTAATTTTTACAGTTTTAATAATGCAAAAGGATGATTTGTCTGTAGCTCTATCAAAAAGTATTGGCTTCTCAAAATGTCATATGGATTTAGCACTCCCATTCCTGTCAATACAATATGGAAAGGGGGTTCCATTTCCTCTGCTCAAATTGTTACATTTTGCATTTCCATTGGTACATGCCCAGGTACATAATTTTTAATGTATGACTCGTGATTATGAAGAAAACTTGTATTGTACTTACAAATATTAGATCCATCAAAGGTGTGTTCATACGGTTGAGGGGACTCTTCATTTCTTCCCAATTGGTTGTGGAGTAGATGTCTTTCACATGGTATCAGATTTAGGCTTTGGGAGGGTGTTGGATAAGCCTCAATTCCTTCGATTTGATAATTGATTCCTCCTTGTTTGTGCCATATAAGTCAAAAGCTAACCTTACAACTAAAAATAAGGTCAAAATCAGTCTCTCTCTCTCTTTTTTTTTTTTTTTATTTAAGTGTTTTACTAGCGGGGCTAATAAATGATCCTTATAAAAGAAAANATAAAGGAAAAAAGTTTGTCTCATATGTTAAAAAAGTAAAGAGAAAAAGTTTGTCTCTTGTCAATGGAATAACTTGTTTTAAACTACTCCATGCGTCTCGTCAACTGAATGCCACTGATGTNAAAAGTTTGTCTCATATGTTAAAAAAGTAAAGAGAAAAAGTTTGTCTCTTGTCAATGAAATAACTTGTTTTAAACTACTCCATGTGTCTCGTCAGCTGAATGCCACTGATGCGACATTAAAATTGGGTATGTTTGTCTGAATTCAATTTATATTTGCTCACGTATCAAAGTGAAGCAAATATAAAAAATGTGAAAATAACTTGTATTATGTGTCAAAAGATGTAAAGCACCGACTGTATGTTTAAGAAATCTTTTCTACCATTGCTCGCCAGTTGATTCTGAGTTATATACCAAAAAACATGACACATAATTTCTTGGTGAAATTCAGATATCAATCAGTCAACTCTGATCAATTGGTCAGTGTGAGAGTAAATACGTATATATGAGCATGAATATCACTTCCTTGTTTGAATTTTATGCACATCATTTGAGGCGACTGTACCACCGAGATCATTGTAATCTCGTTAGTCTATTAAAAAAAAGTTTCGCATCGAAAAACTGCAGATCCCATTAGGCACAAAAACAAGGAAAGATTATTAAAAGATACAAGAGGTTAAACATGTAATTGTTTGAACCAAAAGTATTACCACATGTTGAAACACTAAATTTTTAGCTCAAAATTATAGTGCTTTAGCAGTTTCCGGAGAAACTGACCCAATACTCCTTTCAGAGTATCAAAATATTCACATTTGAGACCTCCATCGGTGCAAAGCAATAAATATAATGTAGAATAACTATAAGAAATAGTCTAAGATGGCCATCAAATTAAGAAACCTCAGTGTCAAATATTGACAAGGATGAACATTAAAGAGTGCAATTGGGCAGGGAAAAAGAATGGCCACCCAAATAATAGGAAGCATAATGAAACAAATTGATACACAATCTGGCAAGCAGATTACATAATGACATGCTCGACTAAAATCACAAGGATGAAGCCTTCTCATTCAGAGACTCTCTAACAGCCTTCAAGAGAGATGGCATCAATTTCTGATTGGTAACAATTATGCCGGTGTCAAGATCAAGATATTTTCCCTTTGAAAAGTCCAATTGGTTTCCTGCAGCATCTGTGACAACACCCCCTGCTTCTGTGAATAGAAAAAAAAAACGAGTAAATATATATCTTCTTCCACTCAAAAAGTAAGTCATTACAATGCAAGCTCAACATTTGAACTTCAATTCTGTTATTTCACATTGACACAAAAAACAAGTATATCGCACTTTCTTAAAGGAGGAAACAATTCAGCAAATTTATTTTTTCCGAATAAGCCCTGCAACCATATAGTTCAAACAATTGGTTCGGCACCTCCAAATCACAAGAGATAGTTCACCACATACCAAACCAAAGTCAAGATAATAGTATACTGACATTTCCTATAGATCACCTTTTTTAGGATCTAATTCTACTTGCACAGGCTCAAACCAATTTTGCACTCTGGCAGTGATATCATTCACTCAAGCTAAATTTTTAACACAAACACATTTTTATGAATGATTTGCCTCAACAATGTTTTAATCCTACAACCAATTTCAAATAGGGTTACTGGCACTTTCCCCCATGAAAATTTTTTAATTTTCATTTTACTCCCTTAAAGATAAAAATATCATCTTGCCCCTGTTTAATTTCTAAAAAGCAAACCAACTAATCCTAGTCTAATTGGCCACCCTAATACTCCCAACCAAGAGGTTAAGGGATAGATCTTTCTAAAGGCAAGTATTGATCTCTCATGTACCCCTTTTTGTTGGTTGTACTATGCTCTTCTTTTGGGCTTCTTTCCCGCTACATTGTAATAGTAATTTGTTTAAACTTCATTCTAATAGTGATATCTTGTACTTTTCCTAGTGACTCACAGTAGCATATTAAAAAAAAATCATAAAAGCAAAAAAAAATAAGCCCAACCCCCAGGCAGCGGTCAAGTTATCATAAAGTCAATTTGCCCCTCAAGAATTTTAAAAGTTGATCTTTGCCCCCATAAAAATTTAACTACCTCAGGTTCACATGTGTGGCACATGGATATCAACAGAAGAAAAATGGGATGTTATTTGCTTATTGCGATAGTTAGTATTTTCTAAGGGGAATTCAACGTGGAATGTGAAACTTTCAATCTTTGAGGGGTTAAAGTAAAAATTTTAAATCTTTTAGGGGATAAAAATGATGCTTGTCCTTTCAAATTCTAATGTTCATCAGAACAAATCTTTGCCGCAGCTGATTTACCATTCTCACAGCTGAAGTTGATTACAATCGTCAAGCCTAATCACATGCATTCTTTCTGGTCAAGCAGTACAAGTTATATACGGTGTTGGTGCCAACATTCAAAGACAGATTTGTAAAGTAAGTCCATTGACATAGATGGAAATGACCTATTTTTACTGCATGCACAGGATCTTTATGAATTTCACTCAATGAAACACTGTTACCTGTGTACCAGAACAAGTGGTCATGTGACAACCTATGTAATGGGTCCAACCAAGGAGAACAGTATTGCTTCAAATGCTATGTGAAACAACAGAACATTCAGAACCTCCTTAGGGTAACCACATACATTCTTAACTCAAGGCCAAATATATTCCTGGTTCAATGAAAAATCCTATCAAAATTTTCTGGTAATAATGATTCTGAAATGCTTGTATTGGGAAACTATCAAAAGTGTTTTAAAAGGAATTCTAATTAAAATAGATTTAATCATATTTGCAGTTGCTACATCTATGGCATTTATAATTATAGTTTCAGAGTACTCTCAATTCATTGTGCATGTGAATAAGAATTGTTCACAACCAAAATCTTTATGCACCTTAAAGGAGAAGAACATTTTCTGTACCTGCGACAACAATGTATCCTGCTGCATGGTCCCATATTTTCTCACGGTAACCTTTGTGAGGAAAACGCAGATATATTGCTCCATCTCCTCTGGACAAAGCACCATATTTAGCTTGACTATCGATTCTAACTGGGGGTGCCTTAACACCAAGTTTCTGTTCAAACATAAAATCAGGAGCATGTTGCTAGAAAAGGAAAGAGAAGGGGGAGGGGAAGCAGGGTAGAAAGAGAGCAGTGCCTTTGCTATTAAGCTTGATAAATCATGCATTGAGTGTGCCGCCTCGAAAGATTCAAAGAATGACGCCTCTTCGGAGTTTCCAATAGAACAGACATGCACCTTAAGGGAAATAACACTATCAAATATGAATATTAAAATATTGTGTTTGGTTTAAATTATGGATAGAAACACCAACCTTCACAGGCAGGGAGCCATCTAGTGCCGCCATATAGGTTCCAGCACCAACTTTGGCTGAGAAAAGACAGCCAACTTTGTCACAAGATATCTGTATATCTTGGCTGCCAAGGGGTGCTAAAGGAAGATTTGGACAAGCCAAAACTCCCAACACGACTTTCCCTTCATCTAGCAATGCTAATGCAATAGCATATTGGTCTCCTCTCAAAAACCTACAATAGAGTCTCACAAACATAAGTTATTCTATAGTAGAGGGCTAGGAAGTATGAGTACGGACAAGAGTGTCGTATCAGATACAATACGGATATGGGAATACGACAAAATAAAAAAAAATAGGACACGGGTACGACAATAATAAGACTATTAAAATAATATAATATATTTTTAAATAATAATAGAGTTGTAATATATTAAAAATAAAACATATATTATAACAATATTAATAATAAAACATAGCAAATATTATTTTTTTTTATGAAAATTGAAATAGATCAAAATACATATCCATCATTTTTATCAAACATCATTACATCCATTAAAATTCATAGTATATAAGTTAAATAACAAAAAATATATTAAAAAAATAGAAATCACACTATTTTTAATAGTTAACAATTGTTTTTTTTAATAAAAAAAATTCCTAGTCGTGTCCGACTGAATTCAGTATTTAGGACACTTTTAACCGTGTCCAACACTATNTGCCCCTGTTTAATTTCTAAAAAGCAAACCAACTAATCCTAGTCTAATTGGCCACCCTAATACTCCCAACCAAGAGGTTAAGGGATAGATCTTTCTAAAGGCAAGTATTGATCTCTCATGTACCCNTGCCCCTGTTTAATTTCTAAAAAGCAAACCAACTAATCCTAGTCTAATTGGCCACCCCGATACTCCCAACCAAGAGGTTAAGGGATAGATCTTTCTAAAGGCAAGTATTGATCTCTCATGTACCCCTTTTTGTTGGTTGTACTATGCTCTTCTTTTGGGCTTCTTTCCCGCTACATTGTAATAGTAATTTGTTTAAACTTCATTCTAATAGTGATATCTTGTACTTTTCCTAGTGACTCACAGTAGCATATTAAAAAAAAATCATAAAAGCAAAAAAAAATAAGCCCAACCCCCAGGCAGCGGTCAAGTTATCATAAAGTCAATTTGCCCCTCAAGAATTTTAAAAGTTGATCTTTGCCCCCATAAAAATTTAACTACCTCAGGTTCACATGTGTGGCACATGGATATCAACAGAAGAAAAATGGGATGTTATTTGCTTATTGCGATAGTTAGTATTTTCTAAGGGGAATTCAACGTGGAATGTGAAACTTTCAATCTTTGAGGGGTTAAAGTAAAAATTTTAAATCTTTTAGGGGATAAAAATGATGCTTGTCCTTTCAAATTCTAATGTTCATCAGAACAAATCTTTGCCGCAGCTGATTTACCATTCTCACAGCTGAAGTTGATTACAATCGTCAAGCCTAATCACATGCATTCTTTCTGGTCAAGCAGTACAAGTTATATACGGTGTTGGTGCCAACATTCAAAGACAGATTTGTAAAGTAAGTCCATTGACATAGATGGAAATGACCTATTTTTACTGCATGCACAGGATCTTTATGAATTTCACTCAATGAAACACTGTTACCTGTGTACCAGAACAAGTGGTCATGTGACAACCTATGTAATGGGTCCAACCAAGGAGAACAGTATTGCTTCAAATGCTATGTGAAACAACAGAACATTCAGAACCTCCTTAGGGTAACCACATACATTCTTAACTCAAGGCCAAATATATTCCTGGTTCAATGAAAAATCCTATCAAAATTTTCTGGTAATAATGATTCTGAAATGCTTGTATTGGGAAACTATCAAAAGTGTTTTAAAAGGAATTCTAATTAAAATAGATTTAATCATATTTGCAGTTGCTACATCTATGGCATTTATAATTATAGTTTCAGAGTACTCTCAATTCATTGTGCATGTGAATAAGAATTGTTCACAACCAAAATCTTTATGCACCTTAAAGGAGAAGAACATTTTCTGTACCTGCGACAACAATGTATCCTGCTGCATGGTCCCATATTTTCTCACGGTAACCTTTGTGAGGAAAACGCAGATATATTGCTCCATCTCCTCTGGACAAAGCACCATATTTAGCTTGACTATCGATTCTAACTGGGGGTGCCTTAACACCAAGTTTCTGTTCAAACATAAAATCAGGAGCATGTTGCTAGAAAAGGAAAGAGAAGGGGGAGGGGAAGCAGGGTAGAAAGAGAGCAGTGCCTTTGCTATTAAGCTTGATAAATCATGCATTGAGTGTGCCGCCTCGAAAGATTCAAAGAATGACGCCTCTTCGGAGTTTCCAATAGAACAGACATGCACCTTAAGGGAAATAACACTATCAAATATGAATATTAAAATATTGTGTTTGGTTTAAATTATGGATAGAAACACCAACCTTCACAGGCAGGGAGCCATCTAGTGCCGCCATATAGGTTCCAGCACCAACTTTGGCTGAGAAAAGACAGCCAACTTTGTCACAAGATATCTGTATATCTTGGCTGCCAAGGGGTGCTAAAGGAAGATTTGGACAAGCCAAAACTCCCAACACGACTTTCCCTTCATCTAGCAATGCTAATGCAATAGCATATTGGTCTCCTCTCAAAAACCTACAATAGAGTCTCACAAACATAAGTTATTCTATAGTAGAGGGCTAGGAAGTATGAGTACGGACAAGAGTGTCGTATCAGATACAATACGGATATGGGAATACGACAAAATAAAAAAAAATAGGACACGGGTACGACAATAATAAGACTATTAAAATAATACAATATATTTTTTAAATAATAATAGAGTTGTAATATATTAAAAATAAAACATATATTATAACAATATTAATAATAAAACATAGCAAATATTATTTTTTTTATGAAAATTGAAATAGATCAAAATACATATCCATCATTTTTATCAAACATCATTACATCCATTAAAATTCATAGTATATAAGTTACATAGCAAAAAATATATTAAAAAAATAGAAATCACACTATTTTTAATAGTTACAATTGTTTTTTTAAATAAAAAAAATTCCTAGTCGTGTCCGACTGAATTCAGTATTTAGGACACTTTTAACCGTGTCCAACACTACCACGACACCCCTATGAGAAGTATCCGTACTTCCTAGGTAGAGGGCATACTGCTGAGACGCAATTTAAGTACAATATAATCCAAAAGTCATAGTATAATCAATTTAAAATATATTAAGTCAGTCTGTTTTTAGGGCTTTGTGCATGTGAGAGAGAAGGAAAAAGGGGGAAGGTGATTCGACCACAAAAAAAAAGTAAAAATGTCTAAGAGGTTAAATGATTAGAAATCCAAGCGTTAAAAATATCAAATGCTGATGCATATAAAATATCTTCAACCCTTTGTATGAGCATCATAACATACAAAGCTCAATATCCTCAAAGACAAGTTTGTTAGATTCCCTTAGGAGGACCCTTACTATACGTTAAAATAGATAATCGAATATTCTCTCTTCAACCTACCAATAGATTTTTTAATTAATTCAAGTAGGGGTGTCAATCGTGTCGTGTTCATGTGACTTATATGTTGTGTTATTCGTGTCGTGTTCGTGACAAGACCCATGAAAAAATAATCTATTTAGTGTGTTTTAAATATTAAACATNAAATCTTTTAGGGGATAAAAATGATGCTTGTCCTTTCAAATTCTAATGTTCATCAGAACAAATCTTTGCCGCAGCTGATTTACCATTCTCACAGCTGAAGTTGATTACAATCGTCAAGCCTAATCACATGCATTCTTTCTGGTCAAGCAGTACAAGTTATATACGGTGTTGGTGCCAACATTCAAAGACAGATTTGTAAAGTAAGTCCATTGACATAGATGGAAATGACCTATTTTTACTGCATGCACAGGATCTTTATGAATTTCACTCAATGAAACACTGTTACCTGTGTACCAGAACAAGTGGTCATGTGACAACCTATGTAATGGGTCCAACCAAGGAGAACAGTATTGCTTCAAATGCTATGTGAAACAACAGAACATTCAGAACCTCCTTAGGGTAACCACATACATTCTTAACTCAAGGCCAAATATATTCCTGGTTCAATGAAAAATCCTATCAAAATTTTCTGGTAATAATGATTCTGAAATGCTTTTATTGTGAAACTATCAAAAGTGTTTTAAAAGGAATTCTAATTAAAATAGATTTAATCATATTTGCAGTTGCTACATCTATGGCATTTATAATTATAGTTTCAGAGTACTCTCAATTCATTGTGCATGTGAATAAGAATTGTTCACAACCAAAATCTTTATGCACCTTAAAGGAGAAGAACATTTTCTGTACCTGCGACAACAATGTATCCTGCTGCATGGTCCCATATTTTCTCACGGTAACCTTTGTGAGGAAAACGCAGATATATTGCTCCATCTCCTCTGGACAAAGCACCATATTTAGCTTGACTATCGATTCTAACTGGGGGTGCCTTAACACCAAGTTTCTGTTCAAACATAAAATCAGGAGCATGTTGCTAGAAAAGGAAAGAGAAGGGGGAGGGGAAGCAGGGTAGAAAGAGAGCAGTGCCTTTGCTATTAAGCTTGATAAATCATGCATTGAGTGTGCCGCCTCGAAAGATTCAAAGAATGACGCCTCTTCGGAGTTTCCAATAGAACAGACATGCACCTTAAGGGAAATAACACTATCAAATATGAATATTAAAATATTGTGTTTGGTTTAAATTATGGATAGAAACACCAACCTTCACAGGCAGGGAGCCATCTAGTGCCGCCATATAGGTTCCAGCACCAACTTTGGCTGAGAAAAGACAGCCAACTTTGTCACAAGATATCTGTATATCTTGGCTGCCAAGGGGTGCTAAAGGAAGATTTGGACAAGCCAAAACTCCCAACACGACTTTCCCTTCATCTAGCAATGCTAATGCAATAGCATATTGGTCTCCTCTCAAAAACCTACAATAGAGTCTCACAAACATAAGTTATTCTATAGTAGAGGGCTAGGAAGTATGAGTACGGACAAGAGTGTCGTATCAGATACAATACGGATATGGGAATACGACAAAATAAAAAAAAATAGGACACGGGTACGACAATAATAAGACTATTAAAATAATACAATATATTTTTTAAATAATAATAGAGTTGTAATATATTAAAAATAAAACATATATTATAACAATATTAATAATAAAACATAGCAAATATTATTTTTTTTATGAAAATTGAAATAGATCAAAATACATATCCATCATTTTTATCAAACATCATTACATCCATTAAAATTCATAGTATATAAGTTACATAGCAAAAAATATATTAAAAAAATAGAAATCACACTATTTTTAATAGTTACAATTGTTTTTTTAAATAAAAAAAATTCCTAGTCGTGTCCGACTGAATTCAGTATTTAGGACACTTTTAACCGTGTCCAACACTACCACGACACCCCTATGAGAAGTATCCGTACTTCCTAGGTAGAGGGCATACTGCTGAGACGCAATTTAAGTACAATATAATCCAAAAGTCATAGTATAATCAATTTAAAATATATTAAGTCAGTCTGTTTTTAGGGCTTTGTGCATGTGAGAGAGAAGGAAAAAGGGGGAAGGTGATTCGACCACAAAAAAAAAAGTAAAAATGTCTAAGAGGTTAAATGATTAGAAATCCAAGCGTTAAAAATATCAAATGCTGATGCATATAAAATATCTTCAACCCTTTGTATGAGCATCATAACATACAAAGCTCAATATCCTCAAAGACAAGTTTGTTAGATTCCCTTAGGAGGACCCTTACTATACGTTAAAATAGATAATCGAATATTCTCTCTTCAACCTACCAATAGATTTTTTAATTAATTCAAGTAGGGGTGTCAATCGTGTCGTGTTCATGTGACTTATATGTTGTGTTATTCGTGTCGTGTTCGTGACAAGACCCATGAAAAAATAATCTATTTAGTGTGTTTTAAATATTAAATATTAGTCTAAACTACTTATTATGCGTATTTAATAATCGTGTCAATTTTATAATCGTTTGTGTCGAGTTAATGTCGGGTTTGTGTCAACAAGTCAGAGCAACACCCCTAGATTCGAGCATCTCGGCTTGTTCAAATTACAATATGAACCAATGCAATGGGATAATTGGGATCATTTACAAAATGAGGTAAGATCGAGCCTAAATTTTTTAGGCTTATTGTAAGCATAGTTATCAAAATGGTACGATTCACGATTCGATTTGTACGATCTGATTTGATACAGGTACAAAACAAATCGTATCTTATATGATAATCATTTTAGAGTTGAATCGCACCTGAATCTTACAATTCGTACAATTCAATTCGTATCTCATGAATTGCATGATTTAATCACTTTTTTTTAAAACCTAAATTTTAGGTAAAACGACGTTTTGTCCACTAAACTATAAAATGACGTCGTTTTATTCACAAAGGAACTCGCACCCTAATAAAAATTCAACCACTTTGGTCGTACTCTCTGACGTCATCTAAAGCTCGTCTTGCATTGTCTAAAGTTAAAGTTCACAACTAACGCACTTGCATCATCGATTCATTTTTGCTCTCAATTCCTTTATATATAGTTTGTTAGGTTCTAATTTTTTATTTCAAAATGTTGGCTTGTATGTTTTCTCCCAATCAATTTTTTTTTGTTATGTTTTTATTCATGTTTGTAACCTAATCTATCTTGGGTGTCACTATTTTAGTTATTGAATAACTATGGTTTTTTAATGAATTTTTTTTTTGAAGTTTTTGACTTTGAAAATAGTTAAGCGAAATATGAAAATGAAGCAAAAGACTAGCGTCTTTCCATTTAGACGAAGTAATTATGTCAATTAATTATTTTTAAAATGCAATAATGCTCAATATTCAATGTGTTGTCTATTTTAAATATGTAATATTATTTTTAATTTTTGTTCAAATTTTGTGTTGAATCTTATTATTAACGATTCGATACGATTCACTACTCTCAAATTTAAGATTCTGATTCCCGATACGAATCGCGGTTTGACAACTATGATTGTAAGATCCCCCTTCAAAAAAAAAAAAAAAACTTTCTAAAATACACTAGATATGACAGATTTTACACAGAGCTTTCCATAACACTCTCCTATCTTTCAGTTTTCAGTCCTCTATTAGCCCCTCTACCCACAATCTCTCTCTCCTCTCAATAAAGAAACCCTAATCTAAATCTATACCTCACACGTCCCTCTCTTTCTCACCATCGTCTCTCAAAACTCACTCACCTTCAAGAATACTCTCTCGGTCGTCTCTTTGCCTCTCTCCCTACACCTCTCTCTCCTCCAAACAAAGAAATCCTATCTTATTCCTAATAGAGATCTTTCTCTCTCTGATCTCTCTCCTCTATGCTCTCTCATTTTTTAGATTCTCACTGCAATTAGCCTCGGCCACTTCTTTGTCTCTTGGTCTCCACTCAGTTATAACTGAGAGAAAATATCAAACACACTCTCTTCTTAGGAGAACAATCCATATGTAATCTATACCCCAACAAGAAATAGGTTGTCAGAAAGTGGCCTAAATCTAGTGCTTGAAAAGATTGATCTAATGCTTGTAGATGCACCTTTTACATGCCAAGGCAAATATGATATTTACAGAATAACAAGCAAGTGTTTTTACAAGCTATCCAAGCATGGCATTAATGGTCCATTCTTTGAATAAAGCGCAATAATGGTGGAGATTCAAAGGTTGTCATGAAGAGCTAGTCGGGGTGCTTGCCTTGAACCAACTGGTCTTTGTATGCAAGAGTCATCCGTATCATAAAAGCAGCCCTTGGTTATACAAAGTACCTCAACTTTGCTAGATGCATTCCATCAACCAATGCGCAAGTGGAAGTGGAAGATAAAGCATTAAAGCATAAAGGAGTTGCACAAACAAAACTTCTAGATAATCTTTACATATTTGTCACCTCTTACTAAAGAGTGAATGAGGAACTACTCACTTTTTATGACCTTGGCAAAGGTAAAAAAGTGAATGATACTCATCCGTGATCCTCCATATTTTCAATAGTTTTATGAATATAGATATGTGTGTGTGCGCGCTTGCGAATATTATATTGCATTTGTGGCATTGATTTGTTATTTTCTGTGCCCTTTTTATTTTCCCGGAGTTTAGAGAATACACCAACTTTGTTGGGTGTATATGCATACAAGGATCAAAATATCATTTTGAATTACCGTTTTAATCAGCTCAAAAACAAAAACATTTCGAAAATGCAATGAAATCATAGAAAAAATATAGAAACACGTGAAAACACAAATACAATCTTTTTATTTATAAAGATAAACTTAATAATTGATTAATTGAACATTTTTATTGGGTTAACATCCATTTACATGAAGTTGAAGGTAAATAAAAAAGCCCGACACAAGGAGGAAATCACTTTAGTTAGTTTCAAACACTTAATTTTCATCAAGCAAATACATTGTTACATACTGTTAAGGTATCATAAATACACACATAAATACTTAATTTCAAATATTTAATATACTATAAAATTAATTGCAGTTATTTATTAATAATGATAGGTTAATTAACATTGATAAGTTGTTTATTAATTGCAGGGGTTATTAACAATTATAAAAGGAAAAAGGGGGCATTAATGTTAATTAACAAATCTAAAGAAAATTAACAAATTTAGAAGAAAATAAAAACCGGGGGAATTAAACAGTTGGTGCTTGGATCTGAGTCTAAGACTCATACTCGATAGAGAGAGAGAGAAAAGAAGAAGATCTAAGTGATGAAGAGCGGCAGCACCCACCAGCCAAGAAGGAAGAAAGAGAGAAGAAGAAGAGAAAAAGAGAAGATCGAACATGGAGGAGCTAGATCTGGACGTGATCTAGGCTGTGGGAGTGAACGATGGCTTGGATCTGTTCATATCTTGACTCAAGGACCCCGAGAAAGCTGCTGACTCCTCTCTTTGATTTCTACTCTCTCTCTCTGTTTTGCAGAAGATGGGCATGACAAGAAGAATCTCTCCCCTTTTTGCCTTGATGCAATTTTCTAAGCTCGTCTCTGTCTCACTCTATGTCTCTCTTCTGTTTTGTTGAAAACAAATCAAATAAGTTCCTGTTTCATTCGAAACTGTGAGAATTCGTTCGAAACGCAGAAATTTTTGTTTCTACCCATGTTTCGTGTCGGTGGGTAGAAAATCCGAAATGTTTAAGACGTATCAACACGATATTTTGTTCCTTGTATGCATATACAGAAGATCACATGACAAAATACAAACCGTTTATTTGGTTTTTTTGGTTTTTTGCAATTACTTATTTCTTTGTATTGTTTAACCAAATTGATATTCGGGTATCAAAACTTCCTTGCCTTTCTTTTATATACATATATGTTTGTTTTGGATGTGTTCATGAACAATTCAAGCTTGAGCTTAAATTGGAGTTCTTAGCGCAAAACAAGCCAAGCCAAACTAAGCCTAAACAAAAACTTAAGCTCGATAATCGAGCTCGAGCCAAATATGAACACCTTTTCGTTAACACTAGCTGAGCCTCAGAATATTGAAGCAAGATAGGCTGGGCTGGATTAACATTCCTAGCTATTGAACTCCCACCAAGCACTCCAGACCACTGCACACAAAATACCCCACCTACTCCTCTCTCCCTATTGGATCTCAACTTTTTAAAGAACATATTGTTACGTGTTTAAATTGTGGCATGAAGACTTCCTTTTAGCCCCCCTTTCAATTGGAAATTCACTTTCTAAAACTTCACACAATTAGGTATACTGGGAATGTTGCATGAAAAAGTATTTCACCTTTTGAACTAGACTTCAATTTTTGAACATACCAAAAAATGAAGATGGAATGGACAGAGTGAGTATCATGTATTGCATTTCCTAACTTGATCCAAATATCTCATCAGTAAAACAATGTTCCATAATGCAGAACGAGATGCAACTCTACCATCTAGTACTTACAACATCAGATTGCCATAGCCAAACCAATATTATGCACTCCTTAAATTCCTTTTGCAGAAGACAAAAAACTCATTAAAGTTTGTGAACCCATAACTCCTGTGAAAATTAGACCACAAGCTACCTCAAGGGGCACAAAAGTACTCCTGATAGCCTCCCCGAAAAAGCCTAAACAGTATTCAAATTGTACAGAAAGCTTTGATGGAAAACAAGCTATTATGGATCTCCTTCAGGGCCATCATATTGACAGATAAAATTCTTGAAAAGGACAGCTAGAAGTCTCATAAACAGGCAGAAAGACTAGAATACAATCAATAGGATTTGAGTTATAAGCTCACCCTTTAGTACCATCAATAGGATCCAACACCCAATGCCGACCATGAGGACCCCCTTCAGATTTTCCACTGTCAATGGCAGCAAGCACATCTTCTTCAGATAAAGGAGAGACATTGTATGTCCCATCGTGGGCAAGAGTATCGTTCACAAGTTTAGTAATACGTCGCAGAGTTTCTTGGCCTTCTTCCTTGCGAAGATCTCCAGAGTCCTGGAGACTAAAATTATATAACCAGCGTTCTCCAATCCAAAGGGAAAACAAGAAATAATTCCCACATATCTCTAAATTATGGAACTAAATCATAGGTCAAGTAAGAAACAAACTACAAATGTCAAACATGTACCTCCTCAGCCACTAATGAGAATGTCTCCGAAGGAAGCTCCTGCTCTAAGACAAAGCTGACAAGGGCTTGTGAGCCTGAGACTCATGCAAATTCAATGTCACAAACAGGAAACTCAATTACAACTTTATACTCTGAACAATAAGAGATTGATCCGGACCACGACTGCTAGGCCACCACATCTGCCACACACACACACAGAGAGAGAGATGCCAAATAGGATAGCCAATGTATGCATGTCTTGAAAAATCAATAATGATGGTCACGTGCCAAAATCACACCTTCAGTCAGCTATCTTGTTTTCCACTGGTTCTATTAGTGTGAACATGTTATTGAAGGGCAATATTTTAATTGCTTTTAATATCCTTCTAATATAAATAAGTAACCAAGTGTAGAACAACTGTATCCTACATACAGTTGATTACTCTCTCTCTCTCTCTCTCTCTGTCCTCTCTTTCATAACCGTAAGACTCAATTGTTGCAAGCTTCAACTTAGTATCACTGCATTGATCTAAGGCAATACATCATCAAAAAATACAACAGAAGAAACCTGGGGAGAAAAAACTACTATTATAATAAGTAAATCCATGCTCAACACAGTGCCGTAACATTTAACATCAGCATTACAACAAAATTTTCCGGCGAATATAACCATTTTTAGGGTCCCCTCTCCTTGCTGGTAATTATGGTGGTTTTTGCTGAATTTTTTAAAGTCATCTAGATCATTTTTTTTCTATTAAGAATGATTCTCAATAATACTGGTCCAAAAATTTAGATTTGTTACCTTTTATGTGCTTCGATTCACATATGAAGGGTGCAACTAAGCACTAGAAAGCTGGTTTGGAGTGACCAATACTTGTGTGGGTGGTTTGGCGTGATTATTGCTTCTCTGTGGCAATCAGCTCCTTCAAAGAGTTGCTTACAACTACTTTTTTGGTCTTATTTTGTCATATTTTGTCTCGATAGTAATTGGGTCTAGTTTGTTGGTTCTGTCTTGCCTGCTTTGGGTTTATATTTTGATTGTTGGGCATGGGGGATCACTGCTGGCGGAATACAGACCAGCCTTGTTCCTTTTTCATGACTAGTTGATTGTGGACTATTTCATGACAACTCTAGATGAGGTCAAAAGGTAATCTAATGGATGATCAAGTTAGAAAGGTTACCTATGTGAAATTGAATGGCAATAACCATCATTTATGCTCTCCAGTTGTTAAAATTTCCTACATGCAAAGGAGAAAGTCAAATATATAACTGAGAGTCTCCCTTCCTCGAAGTCAAAAAATCATAAAGAATGGTAGAGAGAGAATTCAATGGTGAAGACTTGGTTGTAGTTTAGTAGGGAATCATATGTGGCTACAATATTCAACTTTTTGACACAACCAAGAAGATATGAGAATCTCTTGAGGAGTTGTTCTCACGGGGAACGTATTTTGTTGCGTATTTACGAGCTTTTTAAGCATTTGTTTAATAGTAAGCAAGGTGTTAAGTTTAGAGGATTAACACAATATTAGAGAGTAACCGAGAGGTGTCAAAACTTAACTTATCTCTCATACATCATTTATATTTATAGTTAACTCACAATAATAAAAATTACACATATACCCTCTTGTATTTACACATAATACCCTAACACTATTTAATAATTTACACATACTACCCTAATACTCTTAACACTCTGCCTCAAACTGGACTATATATATTATATAATCCAAGTTTGAAACAAATTGTTGTAAGACGTGTATAACTCAATACTTTGGTAAACATATCTACAAGCTGATCTTCAGATTTCACAAATGGAGTCGTAATCTCCCCAACTACTATTTTGTCCCGAATAAAATGACAATTAACCTCAATATGTTTGGTTCTCTCGTGAAACACTAGACTGACAGCAATATGAATAGCTGTCTGGTTGTCATAGAACAACTGTAAAGGAGGTTAAACTGGAAACCCAATTTCTTGGAGCAAGTGTAGTAGCCAAATCAACTCAGTCGTCGTATGCGTCATTGCCCTATACCCAGCCTTAACACTGGATCTTACTACCACGGATTGTTTCTTACTTTTCCATAAGACAACTGTACCTCCCAATAAAGTATAATAATTAATGGTTGATCTCTGATCAGAAGGAGGACCAACCCAATCAGTATCTAAGAAACCTTCCACTCTAAGATGTCCATTAACTCGATATAACAGTCCAAGTTCAGGAGCTCGTTTGAGATATCACAGAATACAAGTAACTGCCTCCCAATGTGTTACTCTAGGATATCCCATGAACTGACTTATTATATTAACTGTATAGGAAATATTCAGTCGAATAATAGTGAGATAATTGAGCTTCCCGACCAATGTACGATACGGACCCGAATTCTCAATCAATGCACCATCATCCATTAATAGTTTCTGATTCGAATCCATAGGAACATCAATTGGTCTGCCCCCAGCAAACCAGCTTCCTCTAGCATGTCAAGTACATATTTCCTCTGTGATAAACAAATACCTTATTTAGATCGAGCCACTTCAATTCCCAGAAATACCTGAATTTTTTCAAATTCTTAGTATAAAATTGATCTTACAAGAAGATTTTTAAATTGAAAATCCCCTCAAAATCATTTTCAGTAATCACAATATCATCTACATAGACCACCAATAGAACATATCCAGCATCCATCTATCTATGAAACAAAAAATGGTCAGTTTGACATCGAAAAAGACCAAACTCTAAAACTGCATCTGAAAACTTACCAAACCATATCCTCGATGACTGCTTCAAACCATACAAATATTTCTTTAACTGACATACACTCTTACCATACTCCCCCTGAGCAGTAAACCCAAGTGGCTGCTCCATGTATACCTCTTCAACCAAATCACCATATAGGAAAACATTCTTGACATCTAACTAAAACAAGGGTCAATCAAGATTAACAACCAAAGAAATTAAAATACGAACAAAAAAAATTTTGGCAACAAGAGAGAAAGTCTCCTCATAATCAACACCATAAGTCTGAATAAAACCCTTTGCAACAAGCCAAGCTTTGAGATGCTCCATAAAACCATTCGGATGAAATTTAACAATATACACCCAACGACAACCAACAATTCATTTACCAAAAGGTAAAGGAACAAGCTCCCAAGTCCCATTATGATGTAAGGCATCCATCTCATCCTCCATAACTTTCCTCCAACCCAGATCAGATAATACATCCTGTAAATGCTTAGGAATAGATATAGTAGATAGTTGAGAGATAAAACAAGAGAAGATAGGAGACAAGTCATCATATGAAACCAAATGAACAATGAGATGATTAGTACCAAACGAACGAGTACCTTTTCGAAGAACAATAGGTACAGAGTCTAAATTACCTGATGGACCAGGATCAGAAGGCAACAAGAAAGACGGTACGGGCACCTCAGTCGATGGTCGAGAACGACGAGAGTATACACGAAGAGGTACAATAGATGGTAACACAGTGGGCAGCAGAATATCAATAGATGAGGAAGGAGATGGTGGTACAAGAGATGACCTAAAGTCTAAATCTAAAGGCTGAGAAGGTGCTGAAAAATATAGAACAGATTCCTCAAACGTGACATCGGCACTAGTAAAGTATCATCGCAGAAAAATACTGTAACAATGGTACCCCTTCTCTGTGCAAGAATAACTAAAAAATACATATTTGGTAGCTCGAAGGTCAAGTTTATCAAACTTAGGACCCAAATTATAAACATAACAGACACATCTAAAACCTTAGGAGAGAGAAAAAATAAGGGTTTACCAGAAAAAAGAACAGAATATATATTTTGTCTATTTAACACAACAGATGGCATATGATTAATAAGGTGATAAACAGTAAGAACAGCATTACTTCAAAATATCGGAGAATATTCATCTGAAATAACAGGGCACGAGTGACTTCCAATAAATGGCGGTTTTTGCGTTTAGCAACACCGTTCTGTAGAGATGTGTAAACACAGGAAGTCNTGGTGGTCACGGTGGACATCATCCAACCTAAGATGGCAGTCGTGGTGGTCAAGATATGAGCTATGGAGGACGTAATGATCATTCGTGCTAGCCACGATAATCACAAGTGTACCAATTGTGGTGGTACAACACATATCGAGGATTATTTTACGGATATTTGCAGTTCTTATAATAGAAAAATGTGATAGATTGTGTCCCAATTATTTCGGTCATCGCGCGGAAGAGAACAAATAGCCAAGGGTGCAGAGTGGATCCTAAATTTTCCAGCCAGAATAAGAACTTGTGGTAATTTCTCTATGCCAATTATGATTNTCAGATACATATTCCCAAACATTATCAGAACGTAAAATATGTATACGACAACCATACCGAGTTTTTATTTCTTTAAAAACGATCTCAAATATAGAGAATAATTCAGACCGAACTTTCATCAGAAACAACCAAGTTACACGAGAATAGTCATCCACAAATGTCACAAAATAAGGATATTTATTAGATGAAATATTATTTATTGGACCCCATATATCAGAATGGACCAACTCAAATAGACTAAACACACGATTATTAACTCTAAACTGAAATGACACACGGTGATGCTTACTAAGTTGACAAGCTTCACAAGACAAAGATGACACACAACTAAGACTGAAAACTTAATGCTTCAAATTCTGGAGAGAAGGATGTCCAAGATGACAATGTCATTGAAAAGAAGATAACGAGGTCTGGAAGGCCCGAGTAGGGGAATCAAAATCAAAGTCCTATAGGCCACCAGCTTCATGTCTCGTACCAATCTTCCTCTTCGTCTTGAAATCCTGAAAGAAACAATAAGATGAATAAAAAGTCACAGAACAATTTAGAGAACGAGTTATCTTACTAATGGAAAGTAAACTACAAGAAAACTGAGAAACAAATAACACGGAAGAGAGGGACATATCAGAACTCAAGTGAATAGTTTCGAGACTTAAAACTTTAGAACAAGTACCATTAGCAAGAGTAACACTACGTGTGGAAGTAGCAAACTGATAAGTAAAAAAAATATTAGACGCACCAGTCATATGGTCAGAAACGCCAGAGTCGATGATCCAGGGACTACGAGTAGAGGACAATAAATAAGTGGAAGCAATACCTAACTGAACAAAAGTAACAACGGAGGGAGATGGGATAGCCTGTTGCTGGAATAGGAACTGAGTATACTCCTCTCGTATAATAGTAACCAACCCAGTGTCTGGTGGAGCTGACCGAAATATGGAAAAAGGGGTATCTTGTTTGGGTTCCATAACAGTGTAGCAAATAGCAAACACGAAGTGCTACAATGCTGAACCAAAAAAAAGAGAAGGCTGGAAAACTGAACCGGACCTGTTAAGGCTACTGGAAGACTGAACCGGACCACAGGAGCCTAGTGGAAGACTAAACTAGACCTGTTAAGACTACTGGAAGACTGAACTAGACTATAGAAGCCTGTCGAAAGACTGAACCGAACCATAAGAGCCTGCTGGACCACTGAACCGGGCAGACTAGGCTCACTGGACAATTGAACCGGAATAAAAATTGACTAAATTGGTATGACCCGGTGAAACACTGTCTGAACTGGGTCACTGGACCTTATTGGACCGCTGAACCGGAGAAACCACTGATTGAACAGGTTTGAAACTAGCTGAACCAGGATCAAATCGAGTTTGATCCGGTCTGATTGGATTTGAACCAAAGTCGTGTCTGGACCTTTTTTGGGTCTGGGCCTCTTCTTCTTCGTTGATTAGGGTTTCAATAAACCCTAAACTTCGACTGCGCCTTCACAAGACAAAAAACAACAGACCACCACGCTGCGCCTTGACCAATACAACCAACAACGGACCACCACGATGCTACCCACGACGATGAAATCAACAACACAGATCTGACGAACACACCACCACAACCTCACTAGCACAACAACATAGATCAACACCACAACTGTAGCAGAGATCAACCGCAACAACTGTATCACCACCACCACTGTAGCTTAATTTATTCAAAATATATTTAGGATTGTAATTGCTTTGATACCATGTTAAATGTAGAGGATTAACACAATATTAGAGAGTAACAGAGAGTGATCAAAACTTAACCTAACTCTCATACATAATTTGTATTTATAGTTAACTCACAATAATAAGAATTACACATACACACTCTTATATTTACACATAATAGCCTAACACTATTTAACAATTTACACATACTACCCTAATACTCTGAACACAAGGTTATAAATTTATAGTTCAACATTACGTATTTCAAGTTGCTATGTTCTTGTCAAGCCTTAGCTTTTAGTACACCAAAGTCAATGATTGATTTTTGGTTAGTGAGAAACTTTCAACTTCTACTACTGCTGACTCTTGCCTTCAGCTTTCTTCTATTAATCATGGGACATTTTCATCTTCACAAGAGTCCTCCACCTTAACTTCTTGTAAAGATAATCATGGTGTTCTTCTTGGTGGTCACGGTGGACATCATCCAACCTAAGATGGCAGTCGTGGTGGTCAAGATATGAGCTATGGAGGACGTAATGATCATTCGTGCTAGC